GGGACTAAAGGTTTCCCAGCCCCGACGCGGGCTGTGCAACGTGGTGGGCCTTTGGCCCTGGTTCGTGTTGAACCGGAACTAGGGGGGGGGGGACCTTTAGTCCCCATCCTTTAGTGCCGGTTTCAGAACCGACACTAAAGGGCCTCACAAACCAGCATTATATCCCGTTTCTGCACTAGTGAACTCTTAATATCAATAGTAGATTTAATCCATAACAGCAAGATTCATTGTCAAACCCTGTTTTGACTTGCATGTCATATACCAGAAGCTAGAATTGTGGTGGTAGAAGCCACATGCAAGCATTACAACCATTATAGCCATCCCACTCCTCGTAATGGTATCCTCATGACATGATCCTCTCCAAATGACGCCCAACTTTGCTTTGGCAACAATAAATTGTGCAACTACCGATGTCCAACCTTGCTAAGCAATCCTTGTTATTGTGGGGAGAGGAGTGTTGCTTGGAGTAGTAGATACGGTTACTCTCCACCCCACTGCGCACGTTCATCATAGGCGTGGGCATCGCCTTACAACACGCTGGACCTAGAAACAAGGCGTAGTCACCCAAGCTCATCACCTCTTCCCACCTTCTGCCGCTGTCAGAGAGCTCGAACACCTTGAAAATTGCAGAACTACCGAGGCTAATTAGCGGCCAGATCTCCACCGCTATTGCTATGTTGGAGCGCAGTTGGAAGATGTATCTTGTACCGGGCTGCGCGTGCAAGGCATCCATCTCAATGACTGGCAGGCGGCCGGGGGTGGCCACCGGATTGCCATCTTTGTCGAAGCTGATGTCAAACCAGAAAAGTTCATTGTGCGTAATGCCATATAGCTCACCGTTGACGAAGGCAATGTCCTCTAGCACCACATGTCCATATGCAATGTACCTGCTACACCCTCGTGTCATCCACCTTCCATTGCTCCCGACACGGCAGAGCGCAATGGAGCACTGGTTGGTCATGGCGGCGAGGATGCAGCTGCTCGAGGAAGGATCCGTGGAGCAGATGATTTTCTTGACGTGGAGAGCTCTGTCGCAGCTGCTCGAGGAAGGGAGAATAGCGTCTCTGCGGAAGGGCAGCGGGCACGCGCACACAATTGCGCTCTGTTGCTCGGAGAGCGGGGCCCGAGCGCCGGAGAAGAGGTTCACCAAGAGGAGCTGGTCGGAGCTGGACGCGGTGGCGATCCAACCACCGTCGTGGGATCCGACGAGCCGGTTGCCCCACGGGAACCACGGCAGCGCGATGCGCAGGGCCCTACCGTCCTCGGGGCTGTACGCCCTAGCCTCCCGGTCGCGGATGCTGTTGCCCGTGGTCGCGAGCAGCAGCGGCAGAGCCGGCAGCCGCCGGTGCCACAACGCGGCGGCGCGCCATGTGGTCGTAGGCTGTGGCGGATCTGAGGTAGACGGTGCCGAGGAGGTCGCCGGGGAGGTCGGCCCACCGCCGTTCGACATGGGCTCCGCCGTCCCCGGTCATCGGTGCTGAGTGCTGACCAGTTCTCGATCTTTGGGTGGTTTGCCCGAAGGTACATACGTATAAGAGATCGCAATGCACGTAGAGGTGTCAAAATCGGTTCCGTAGCATGTTGGGTTCTTTTACAACACGAGCAAACCAGCGAGATGTAATCTCCTCTGTTCGATCCGGAGTTCAACACGTTAATGGCATGCAGAGATCAGGGAGGGTCGTGACGTGCTCACATCAGCCTAGCCGAAACGACTTTTGACCGAATCGAGGAGAGGATCGAGCTCCGAATTAATCTGGTAGCTGCTTGTACACGGGGCTTCTTCAACCCAAGAGCCTGAAAAAGATTAGCCGATTCTGGGCAGTGGAGCAAAAACAAGTCGCAGCCGGCCTAAGGTCAACTCCCAATACACCGACACAAACGGACGCAGAATTTTTCGCCTTTTGTTTCTTTGGGTCCCATGGGTGCAGGCGACCGGTGAGCAGCAGCGGTGCAGTGGCATTGCTAGTGGCCAGTGTTGGGTGGCGTGTTGCCAGTGACGGTTGATGATGCAAGGTTCGCCCTACCTTAATTTTTTTTGTCCTCCGCCTCTGTTAGCAATGTGTCCTGTGCGGCCGCGGGTGTCACGACGGCGCACAGCACCAGCAGCACCGCGGCCGAGGCGACCCTCCAATCCACGGAGACGAAGAAGAAGACAGGACAGCCATTGCTTTGCTTTAGTTATGATCGTGGTTGTGCTCAAGAGTGTGATGCGTGGATAATTTGCTTTGCTGCTGCTATGGGGATTTATAGGCCGATCGTGCTTGTGCTTCGGATCAAGCGCCCGGACGGTTGACTGCAGCTCGTTTCATGTGCATGCATGCGTGCACTTTTTTATTGCAACGTCGGAAAATGCATGTGCCCCCGGCACCCAGCAGTCACATTCACACGTAAAGCGTCGGACTTCGCTTCGAACGCACATACGGTAACCATGTACTCCCTGAGCATGCCCGGGTACTCCCTGAGCAATCGTGCAAAGTAGTACTACCAAAAACGTCATATATTTTTCATGAAAAAAGAACATCATATATAGTATTTACTAACCAAAACGTCTTATATTTCTCATGAGAAAAATATATCTTATATTTAGGAGCAAAGATTGTATTCTCAGCCAAATGTTGGATGGACTATCCTCTGGAAGCTTAGCATCCCTGCAAAAACTAAATTTTCTGGTGTTGGCCCTTTAATGATATTTGTAGGGTTGGACGGCACGGGGACGTGGGCACCTCATACCACCGTGCATACGAGTGTGTGCGGTCGTATGGTTGGCCGTATTGGGCTCTGTTGGCTTTTCTGTGCTTCCCACATGATTCTCCTTATCTCCTCTTTGCTCTCTTCCATATATGTGCGGCGTTTGGGCATCTGTTGCCATCACTGATACTACAACAACTGCATGGGTTCCCAGACCTAGGACTGTACGAGGTAATTGTTACCCCAGTGATATATTTGGTGGTCGAGGTCTGAGGAGGCAGGTCACACACGCCAATTATTAGAGTAGATAAAAACTTTTTTTAACACAGTACAGACGCAAGCGCTCATATACACGCGCATACACGCACCCCTATGAACGCACACACGCACACCATACCCTTATGAGCACCTTTGAAAGACTGAGCCGACATATCATCTTGAAAATTACGAAGTCACCGTAGGCACAATGACATCAGTCATCTTTGTCACAGGCCACTATCACAGCTTGTATGTGAACAATTCACCTCCTTGCAAATTATACTGAATGGGCAAGCATCTTCTACTCACCAAGAGAAATGGTCTTACACATGGACTTCACCTAATTACTCATCCATGAAAATGTACAAAGCAATCAGAAGGGAGAACACAGCGCATGACATATTCATGTCTTTTTGGAAAACAACATGCAGACTCAGACATAAGATCTTTCTTCTGGCTGTTACTTTGTGATAGCCTTAGTACCAGGAACCTCATCCGCAGGAGGAACATGTATTTCGAAGACTACAATTGTGCTCTATGTTCTGATGCTAGCCTTAGTACCAGGAACCTCATCCGCAGGAGGAACATGTATTTGGAAGACTACAATTGTGCTTTATGTTCTGATGCCACAGAAGAAACACTTGTCCATCTGTTCTGGGACTGTCCATTCGCTTGGAGGTGCTGGCACTCCATAGTACCATACAAGCTCCGAGGTATCTCTGCGTATGATGAAATTCATCTTTCCTTAAGACACCTCCCATCAGACATTGCTATGGACATCATTATCATGGGTTGCTGGGGCATCTGGATGAGCAGAAATGACAAAATCTTCAGAAGAGCTGCACCATCTGTGGACACTTGGAAGCACTATCTGAAAGAAGGACTTCAAGCTACAGAGCTCAGAGCCAAAACAACAAAGGCAGAAATGATCAGAATTTGGATAGAACAATACACTTAATTTAATCATGATGATCCCTAGAGCTGGCATTGGCTGACATTTACTTTATTGTATTTGTATTATACTATTTTAATTAATGAAAATATACCATAGAACAATTGTTCTACGGTTTTGGCTTAAAAAAAAGTCACCGTAGGCACCTGGTCGTCGACGGGAACGCCTCCTTCCACTGAATGCGCATCATCGGAAATCCTGAAATAATCCGGGAATAAATGCGAGCACTAGGAATTGAACCCTGGTGGGCTGGGGATACCACGGTCCCTCTAACCATCCAACCACAGGTTGGTTCGCGTAGATAAAAACATTTGAAAACCAATTTTCTTAATCAAATTAGCTCTATTGGATGGTCGCGTAGTTTTTATTATCTCCTTGTCATATTGTAGTGTAGATAAGTTTTTTTAATCAGTGTTTTATCAAGATTATGAAAAAATACCAATATTTACAATATCAAATCAATATATACTACTAGTCATTAAAAAATATTATTTCGTATGATATATATTTTGTATCATAAATAATTATATTTTTTCCATGAACTTTATCAAACTTCACAAAGTTTAACTTTTGTAAAATATTACTCCCTCCGTCCCAAAATTCCTGTCTTAGATTTGTCTAAATATGGATGTACCGTATTTAGACAAATCTAAGACGGGAATTTTGGGACGGAGGGAGTACTGTGTATGCATGGGACGAAGAGAATAGCCCCTAAGACTGGCCACAATGGGTAGTAACATAGAGTAGTAACATTGCGCATGTTACTACTCTATGTTACTACCTCTATAGTGGGGAGTAACATATGTGTGGTAACATGCAACACTTCATTTATTAGGCTATAGACTCATCTTGCCTTGATATGTGTGATGTTACTCATACTAGTAGTAACTAGCTATGTTACCACATGCCTCTCTTTCTTCATTTATTGCTTGCCATATCATCTATTTTATCTAGATATGTGTGATGTTACTACCTATATTACTCCCACTGTGGGTAGTCTAAGACTAAGGGTCGTTGTCTGGAATTCTCGAAAAAGACCCATGTGCCTTATTTATATGACACTTTTGTACATGAACTCAATTATTCAGGTCGAAAAAGTACTTCAACTATCACTTGATGCAACCATTGAGATGCTAGTACGGCGACCAAATCTAGCAACTGCGCAATCAGTGGCAAAGATATCCGATGATACATAGCTGGTTATGCCGCCCATCACCGGCATGCTGGCGCTCACCCTGAGCTTGTTAATATAGTCGGAGCGGTACGTTTGACCAAGGACACCGTGCACATCGTCGGTGAGGTCGTGAAACTTGAACCCAATGTCCAAGTGAGCCAGGCAGTCTTCCTCCGTGACACCGTAGTTGTGGATGCGGGAGTCCTTCTCCGTGACGGGCACCACGCTGGCCATGATGTCAAACACCCCCTTGAGCTGCACTCTGATGCCATTGGTCGTGGCGGTTCTCGTGATGGTCAGGCCTGCCACGGCTGCCGACTCCCAACGCGCGTCGAGCTTGGCAGGGAGATCGATGGTCTCGTCGTCCAAGGCCATCTCCAGATGGTCGACACGGTTGTTCCATTTCACGGTCTTCTTGGCACCGACGAAGAGGCGGTGGTCCACGAAGCGCATGCCGATGGCCTGGATCCAGGTGAAGTTACGATCAGTGGCGGGGTTGTGCGTGCCAATGAAATGAGCATTGACATGGAGATCAGCATCGGAGACGACACAGAAGTCCTGGTCCTTCTTGCCGTGGAAGTAGAAGTTGTTGCCGTCGCCACCGGTGAAGCGCGGGTCACCGCAGGAGATGCCCGGGTAGTAGTCGCACACTTGACACAAGTAGCCAACGTTACCAACACGTATATATGATTGGATAGAAGAAGGTAAACGTTGCGGCAAATTGGTTGAAGGTGCATATACTTACTGCAAAGAGTCTTGCAGCTGGGGCAGAGGACGAAGCACTGATCGGGGCAGCGGCTCTCGCACTTGGCCATGCACTTCCTCTTGCCGCAGTACTCCCCCGCATCCCGCTTCCCCAGTATTGGTCCCCGTGGGGTTATCATGGCGAAGTTGGACGGCAGCCCCGCCCCTGCGGCGGCGACGGCGGCAGCGGCCACCAAAGCAACCGGGAGAAGAGCTATAAGTTGCCAAGCCATGGATCGCCGGCGTACACCGGAGTTTGAGATGGGTGTAGTACGTTAACGTTGGTTATGGTGGCGTTGAGGAGTTGACGCCGATTTATAGTTCCATGTACGTGTCAACTGTACATGAGTGCTAGCTAAACTACTTTGAGATTACGAAATTTGTTTTCTCTTTAGGTAGTTTTTGGAGTTGACATAGGGAAAAGGTGGGTGGATTCCCTCCCATTAATTCATCCTGACCAAACTGGTGGCAGCTTCCCACTGGTTAGCGAAGAGCCCACGTTACATCCATGAAGCAACTCCAGATCCAAGTTACTACTCCGGCACTCCCTCAGTTTGGAAGATAGTGTTTGGCTGAGATTTTTGCTACAGTATTGAAAATACAAATTCACAGTCATAGAAAAACTATTGTAACAAGAGTACAAATACACAATAAGATCCAAAAAAGGGTCACATGGTTCTCGTATATTTGGTTAATTATTGGTCAACCCTATAAATTGAATCCAAAAATAGGCCAAATACATGTGTGGTTTTCATACTATTCTTGGCAAAATTACTTTGGCTTTTAGAGACAACAATGTAAAGAACCTTTTTTAGAAATGTAAAGAATTTTATTTTTGGGACAAAGAAATGTAAAGAACTACACATGTTGCCACGAGAACCGACCATGCTATCGAGTCCAAACTCCATAGGCACAACCATCCAAGCCCCGGTAGGAAACTTAGGCCAGAGCTCACGAGTTGTTTACTTGGCAATAATCCTACATCTACGTAAAGACCTACTTACTCTGTAAACTCCATAATCTACCCCTCTCTCTCTCTCTCTCTCTCTCTCTCTCTCTCACACACACACACACACACACACACACCACCCCCCTTGAATCTTGTGGGGTGGGGCCCGGGTTGTTTTTCTTACTATCATATCATGCCAACCCAGCTCTTACGTAGGGTTACATAGACTATTTACGTAGATGTAGCAAAGCCGTTTACTTGGTGTTGGTTTTTTGTCCAGTCCGGTGGTGGATCAACCAAAAGTTATATCTTACCTATGGTGAGGTGGACATGGCGCTCATCTATACGTCTATGTCGATGAGTGGACATAGCGCTTGCCTATACGTCGATGAGTGGACATAGCGCTCGCCTATACGTCACGTGGTTTTTGTCAACCTTCTGTCATTCTGTGGCAGAGCTGGAATGCTTTTGGGGAAGTTATGTTTTTTTCCTGTTGTTTGTTTTTCCTTCTTACTTTTTCCCATTCCGGTTTTCAAATACTCGCTGAACATTTTCAGAATACATGTTGAACATTTGTTATATACACACGGAATATTTTTCCAAATACACATTGAACTTCTTTCTGACTACAAGTTGAACAATTTTCAGATACACATTGATATTTTCTCAACTACATGTTTAATATTTGTTAAATGCAGTATGAATATTTTTTATGATACATTGTGAATGTTTTTAGATACAATGTGAATATTTTTTGAACACACATTAAATAATAATCAAATACATGTCAATTTGTTTTTCAAAATACACTGTGAGCATTTTACTAGCATTGTCTTGGGGATTTTTTCAATTTTCGGATTTTCTTCCAGTGTTTTCTAGAAGGTTTTCCATTTTCATTTAATTTTTAGTGTTTCTATTTTGTGTGTTGTTATTTTTATATTTATAATTTCCTGTTTCCTAAATAAATTAACAAATTCGATAAATGCACAAGCATCATTAAGAAGTTACGAACCATTTAAAGAAATGTTTGAACACATTTAAAAATTACACAAACACTATTTAAAAATGTCAGAATAGTTCTAAAAATTTACGAAAATTTCAAAAATGTGAACAATTTTAAAATAATGCAGACACTTTTTAAATATGTAAACACTTGCTAAACTTATACAGACATTTTACAATATATGTCAACCCTTTTTTTAATGCATGATTGTTTCGTGAATATCTCTCAAAACTACATGGACATTTCTGTAAATGTGAACACTAACTTTGAACGCTAACTTTAATTCCATGTTTTTTTTCAAAAAGCTGGAGACAAATTTAAAGTACATAGATAGTCCTAAAAACTATTTTTTCCTTTTTATATGTTCATATATTCATTCTTTTTAATTTATGTAATAAACATATTCTGAAATAACAGTCTAAGCGGTTAATGGGTCAAGCTAGTGCTGTGCGAGGCGGTTGCACATGCTATTCATCGCCTTACTCATGGAATAGGAGGTTGTCTGCTGGATAACCAGTGAACCATTATTCACAAGATCTTTGAAACAATGTTGAAATTTTGGATATTCTGTTTTCGTTTTCTGAATTGTTTTTTAGTTTATACTCTAGTTTTCTCGTGTCTATCCCTTGCTGATAATTTTATTTAAATCAGTCGGAAGTTCAGTACTATATTCACAAGGTATGTTTCCTCTAGTAAGTTTACGAGTTTCTCGATTGGTTTTTGTTTCAATATTGCACTACTGGTGTTGAATTTTGTGTTGTTTAATTTAAGTTTTCCCACTAATTGTACATTTAGGGGCATATATGATCAATCTTACTAGTACGTTTGAGTAACTAGACTACATAGAAATGAAATGCAAGATGGTTTACAAAATGAAGCGTGTCTAGCAACAACCAGTCATCGTTGCTTTTGCTAGTTAGTGAGAGCTTTAACATTTGAGTCCCTTGTTTCATGCTTGGAATGAATTTTCTCAAGCCTTATAAAATGGGTTCTAATCTCATACACAATAGCACCATATACATGTATTTGTTTAGTTCTTCCATGTTATTTTCAACCTCTAGGCAGTGATCCAGTAGTTTCTCATAAATTTTGATTTTTTTGCTCCTTTAACACTAAGTGAGGTTTTATCTTAGTCTCTCCAAATCTTTTTTTATGAAGCCAAAAGTAGTTAAGGGGCTTTGAAAGTTATCTTCTTCGATAAGTTTTCTTCTAGCGGTTCATATCGGCTAGCAAACTACTAGTGTCTTGATGAAATTAACAAGGGAGAGCATTTCCATCATGTGGAAGCACCAAAGATTTGGGCTATGTATTATGTAGTGCTAAGTGCTCAATCAACTCATCATTGAATAATGAAGAGACACATAAATATAGATATTGTATATGTTAGATAAGCATGCACCCCTGTGATTAAGTTAACTAGCAAACTACAGACATAACAGAAGTGAAGGGAGAAAGGGGATTTATCTAAATATAAAACTGAAATGAAGGTAATCAATAGATAAATGAGAAAACATCATATTAATTCAAGATGGCAAGGACTTCAAATGCAACATTTTGTTCGAATATCTTTCTTATTCCATGCAAATTGCACTATTTTTGTTTGTGTACGTATTTCAAGTAAATGGCATGATGGTGGGTATCATGCATGCTCCTACCCTTTCCTTGCTTTAGCACCACATCAAGTTAATTATTCCTAGCCTAGCTCCATGTTTGAAGTTGGCATAATAAGATCTATAGCTAGCCATACAAGGATGGTGTTTAATTGACCATGGCTGTGACCATCAAAATTCCGGCATGGCGGCTCTACAAAGCGACTTTGTAGTCTATGGTGAAAACGTCGGGTGATAAATAGTCATGGTCCTTCTTGCAGTGGAAGTAGAAGTTGTTGTCGTCGCCCCCAGTGAAACGTGTGGATCAAATTAATGTTGTCAAGATAGAATGAAGGGTGGCATATTTACATATCGAATAATATAGTGAGCAACAAGGAGCTCCCTCCATCCCAAAATAGCACTCATATTGTGTTTATTCCTAAGTTTCACCAAGTTATAAAAGAGTATTGATGAACCACATGTATAGGGGATCAATCGTAGCCTTTTCAATAAGTAAGAATGTCGAACCCAACGAGAAGTAGAAGGAACTGACAAGTAGTTTTCAGCAAGGTTTCACTATAAATGGCGTAAAGATAATTTGATGGGTTCTTTTATATGATAATTTGTAACAAGGTAAATAGTAAAAAAAAGTAATAGATTGCAGCAAGTGCGGCCCAATCCTTATGTATGCTAAATACAAGCTGGTGTGTTTCTTATAGTAGTTAATACGCTCTTGAGGACACGGGAATTGAGCCAAGTTACTTTCACCTGATTCATTAAGCTGTCGTTCATTACTTTGGTAAGTGTTGTGTCTGTGGTCCAGAGCTAAGGTATTGTTCTTACATGAACGAGTTCCTACTTATGCTTATACCCTCCATGCAAGCATATCTAATACAAGAGAAGTAATTAAGATAAATCTAATCATATCATTAAACACAAGGATCCAAAACCGCCCCTTGTGGAATAATTCATAAAGTAGCGTTTAGGATTCTATCACTCCCGCAACCCATCGTCTACAAACTAATTCCACAATGTATTCCCCTAAGCCTAAAGATGGTGACGTGTCATGCAGTTGATGTTCATATAACACCACTAGGGGAAAACCAACACAACATATCTGAAGGAAATATGCCCTAGAGGCAATAATAAAGTTGTTATTTACATTTCCTTATATCATGATAAATGTTTATTATTCATGCTAGAATTATATTAACCGGAAACTTAGTACATGTGTGAATACATAGACAAAACAGATTGTCGCTAGTATGCCTCTACTTGACTAGCTCATTAATCAAAGATGGTTAAGTTTCCTTACCATAGACATGTGTTGTCATTTGATAAACAAGATCGCAACATTAGAGAATGATGTGATGGAAAAGACCCATCTGTTAGCTTAGAATTATGATCGTTTAGTTTTATTGCTATTGCTTTCTTTATGACTTATATATATTCCTCTGGCTATGAGATTATGCAACTCCCGAATACCGGAGGAACACCTTGTGTGCTATCAAACGTCATAACATAACTGGGTGATTATAAAGATGCTCTACAGGTATCTCCAAAGGTGTTTGTTGGGTTGGCATAGATCAAGATTAGGGTTTGTCACTCCATGTATCGGAGAGGTATCTCTTGGCCCTCTCGGTAATGCACATCACTATAAGCCTTGCAAGCAATGTGACTAATGAGTTAGTT